AGCATATTCTGGTGAGTGTCTTTAAAATCATGAGTGTCATACCTTAAAACAGAACCTTTAGGAACCACGTTGTTGGTCCTAAAAAAACTCGAAGAAGTACTGAAGGCTTAACTGTGTTCAAACATTTCCTGCAACTTGCAGGCAACACCTTTAAAACTACCTCTCGGTATTTCTACTTAACTTTCAAAAAAGCAGTGAGAAGAATCTTCAAAACAAAAAACATTTTTGTTATTTTATTTAAAACGAGTGAAAGCTCTGCCAAAGTTTGACATAATTAACACTAATGGATATATTGACATAATTTATTGCAAAAAAAACAAAAAACAATCCAACAAGATTTTACACCTGACTGTCCTCTAATGGAAAGTTCTGTGCATACATTAAACTTTCTATTTTCTAAATTTAGTGAGATTACAAACAACGGTTTACTCCTCACTGATCCATCCGAAGCTCCTTAAACATTTCCTCCTTCACCTCTGAGCTTTACAGACTTCCTGTCTGTTACGAGCCGCCATCACTCCACCCAGCACTGTCACTGCCGGATCTGAGGAGATTTTATCTATTATGGGAGGGCGTGATTCATGGAGGCCCAGGCAGCTCAAGGAAAAGCGACCCTGTGACACTTTCTTCCCGCCGCTGTACACGGGCCGGCAGCTACAGAAGGACAAGTCAGTGGCAGCCGTGATAAAATGGCCTTCCTTAACTAAACTCGTAAACCACGCGGCGATAAAACTCAATCTTCTGTAAAATCCAATTAAGTCATTATCTGACTGATTGTATCTTTAATTGAAAACAGAAGTGACAGTAAATTTCAGTGATATATCAGGATCAATCGATACTGCCGTGCAATCTCAAGAGGTGATTTATAATGTCAAAGCCTTATAGGTAACTCCACATTCTTCTCTCTAAAACCACTGGTGGATGAAATTAAGAGTAAGTGCGTTTCATAAAAAAACAAGACGGTCAGGTTATTGATTACAGCAGATGGGGCAGAATCCAATGAATGCTCCAACACCGAGCTGGAAAAGAAAATACAAGTAATTTTCTTTGTCTGTTTTATATTGTTCCCAGAACGACTTCACATTTACACTCCATCACTTTACAGCACTTTTATTCTACTAAAACTTGTAGCGACATAAACATCAAAAGCGTTTGTGGCTGCCTTATTCAAAGGGAAGCACCAGTAAACACTTTGGAAATGAATCCGAATAAATTTGGATTGGAAAAACAGAGATCCAGTCACATTAGTTTTTTAAAAGCAATACAACTGAACCATTTTTGAAAATTTGTTCTTCAACATTTACACAATTAAAAAGTTCAAGAGTCTTTTAATTAAATACCTTAATTCTGTTTCAATGTGCCTATTTTGCTCAGATAGGCGTTTTTTGGGGTTTTCCATTAAGGAACTATAGGACTTGGTACCAGCTCCTTTTGGTACCTCTTTAGCTTTGGTTCCAAACAAGCCAAGTCCTGCTGAGAATGTCAAATGAAAGCATATCTTTGATTGGCTTCAGGGTGATGTCACAGCAGCATCCTTACAATGATAAAACATTTTATACTTTCTGTTTAGTCTTGTCTCCTGCAGCCTTGTGCTTTACAAAAAGCCATGTATTTAGCAGTGGGTTAACCTTTCCACTTTTTCCAGGCCCTCCTAGCAGTGATGACCTCACCACCTTTGAAGTGGTACTCAACTGTGATACGAAACTATCTAAAACACTACCTGCATGCCATCTGTCCATTCTACATAAATATAGCATTCTCTGTCCTGCAATCAGAAATGTAAACCTATAGTTTGCTAAACTCTTCTGGACTTTATCTGGAACCAACTGATTTCATCAGATGAGACCAAGGGCCTGTTTACATAATGTTTTTTTTTTTTTTTTTTTAAGAAAATAGAATAATTTAGTTTTGTTTCTACTGTTGTTTACATGAAAACAGAGCATGCTTTCTTTAAGAATCTGAGTCTAAAGGTGTATTCAGACTGAACGCGGTGTCCGCAGTGATTTCTGCGATCCCCATGGGGAGGTCGCCGCTGTGCATTTTGGGTGCTCTGTTTTTTCCCTGTGGAACGTAACATAAAATAGGAGGAGCTTAAGCTGTGTGAAGCTGACACTCCAACAATGAAAACACTGAATGGTTAGTGTAGGTAATTTCAAAAAAAATGATAGGAATACATAAATAAACGATCATGCGTGTTACTTTCTTAAAGATTATTTTCAGGCCATCCAATGTGGTCTACTTTTTTCAGTGCTACTTTAGTACAGATGTGTGCAGGTAAAACTGTTTTTTGTGCTGCTTTGGTTTTTAGGATATAACCATTTCTAATTTCAATCTGCTCGTTTCCGAATATAAAGGTTTTGCATAACATAATATGGCCGTTCTGTGCTGGCACTGAATATAATGTGGGCAATATTCAGTAGTTCACCAGCCTTCCAGATCCGTCATTTTGGACCTACCGGTACCACTGGCAACTCAACAGCATTTCCTGTAAAGGTCTCACTTTAACTTTTGTTACAGGTGAAAAGTAACATTACAGAACGCTGCTTAAATATGAAACACTTTTGAATTGGCCTTGGGAAACCACCAATTTTTGGAAAAGCCTTAATCTCTGAAAAAGTAGATCCCTTGGGTTCTTCAAGAGCTGCGTATGGATGATGGTCAGATTTAGTTGTGGCAGAGGACAGCAGCTGTGTGTGAGCTGGAGGTCATGGCGCTGTCACACCTTGACGATTTAGCCAGCGTATGCAGACGTCCCGGAATCTTCTAAAACGCTGGCATATGTTGAACTTTCTATGTATTTTTTTGACATAAAAATGTCACCAGTCAGTGTCCTGAGGGGGCAGCAATGTGCCCGGAGGCACCCGAACTGCACAAAGAACACAAGAAGATTTCACTAAATTTAGCAGCCATAGCATTAAACTAGCTGCTGTATATCGGCTGCAAAAGAAAAAACAACAAATCTACTGATTCTGCTTGCAGTCGCAGCAGATTCAGCATCATGTCTGTATGTCTACTAGGAAGGTGGTTGGTTGTGGCCGTGGGCATGAACGCAGGTAGGATCCATCCCACTCTCCTTCACGCTCCGTATGATGGGGGAGATACAGGTTGGATAAGCTACACTACTTAACGTGTATCAACGATCACATAATTTACCTGTAACTTATTTCCCACATATGAGCATACATTTCTATGAGCAAAATTTCTTGACGTACTTGCAGTATGTCAACATGTGCCAGCGTTTTTGCCCAATTTTTCTACATCAAAATATGTTGGCTAAATCGTGTTACCGCGCCATAAGGGAGGACAACCAACAGTCAAGGCTAAAATAAAATGGATTTTTTAAAGCCACCTAAAAATCTCTTCAGACCATTCCTTATTTCCTCCTTTGTCAACATTATTTCCTCTGTATATAATTTTTAAGTAAAAAAAGCTTTGCCTCGGTTGTACTTCTTTAGTCTGCATCACAACCAGTCCCTGATTGGTTGCCTGCAATGCGATTTCCCCAGAAAAGTTACGATCTTTTAAGCAATTCGCTCTCCACGTGGTGCCGATGTTTGACAACACCTCATTTCTTTCATGTAGCACGCGGTGAGGGCAGGGCACGACTCTACCATCACTGTGAGGGATTTACTGCTGGCTGTTGCACCACTCTTGCCTGCGTGATTTGCATAGATTTACTATGTAAGTCCACCTCTCTTTCTGCGGACACCGCATTCAGTGTACATTTTATAGCATGAAGATGAAGAATTAAATCAATTACTGTACATGCGTTCAACATGATGGCTGCCCAATGGTTTAAATACCAGAGGACCCACATTTGAGTATAAGTGTCTGATTGCTAAGCAGTAACTAGTAACTAGTACTCTAGCAACAGTTCCCCAACATTTTCTGTTCATCTATCTAGAATGTGTTGCACATTTTGTTGAGTTCTAAATACCTACTGTGGCAAGGAAATTACTTTATCTTTATCCACCATGTCTGTGGGGAATGTAAATAAAACATTGTCCTTCACAGAAATGGGAACTAACGTCCTGTTTTAACGGCTTGTATAAAGAAAACAAATAAGGTTTTCACATATAAACACATCCAGGTCAGGCACATCATGGTCTTTGTTATGTAGAAGGGAGGATCTTTGGTACTGTGGGCACACTTCTCTTCCAAAGATACCTGGTGAGAGTATATGGCCTCATAAAGTCATTAAAATGGCAGAAAATTGTTGAATTTCAGCTGTAAAGCTAAAACTAACCAAAACAACTCCCAAAAAAGAAAGTGCTGGATAAATAAAATCCACCATATTCACGCTATCAGATCGACACCATCAAAATCCAGATATGTAATAGAGAGAGAATGTGAGCAGTCGGCTCCTCTCGTATACTTCAACCATTTTAAATTATATAGATCACTAAAAGCTGCGGTAGGAACTGATTTTTTTAATTATTTTTTTTTAAGTTTCAACATTAATTAACTTCCAAAGTAAAAGATTGTTCCAGAGTGTACATTTTATGCCTCTATATTATTAATAAAGTTGCAAATATTGTTCATTGATTTGTTTCTCCCTAAAAAAAATTATTTTCTGAAGAATTCAGCTTTCAGAGACTAAAATCCTGAAATGTTTCCCCATAAATGCCGTGTTGCTGAAGGATGCTTCTCCTCACCCAACAAGGTCGTCCCAAAGTGGGTAAAAAATTGTAAACAATAACCCGCGTGTGCAGAAAGCACGTCTGCTGTGAAGGGTTAAGTATACAATACACATGCAAATCCAGGGGAATAAACGACACCATAAATAAGAAGCTGGTGCTCATCATACGTCTAGGGAGGGAAGGGAAATGTGATTTATGTCTAACCTGCTTCCCTCTGCATTTTTTTTTTTTATCTCCCAGCAAACAATCTGCAATAAACTTTAACCCGCAGGCAAACACTTTCCAACAAAAAAACAAACAAAGACAGTGGTTGCAGTTTGTCACACTGCTGTTTTTATTAATGTTAAAATGATCAAAAGAAATTATAAAGATATCAGAAAATTAGATTAATTTGCATCACAGCATCGTTACTACATGTAATTATAAATGTATTAGTAAAAAACAGAATTTCAGAAATGAAGATTAAACAGGAAAATCAAAGGACTTTATCATTCAGATTCTGGGTTTAGGATGCAATATGGTACTCACTAACAGAGGAAGAGCGAGTTATTTCAGGGTTTATCTACAATATATTAAATGTGTTTTTAATTGTTTTAAACATACATTCCACCTTATGTTTGAGTATAATTTTGTAAGTGCAAGAGGGGCTGTGTAAACTTTCTAAGGTACTGTTCTCTGAGTATCTTTATTTTGTCTTGTTTAAATTCAGTAAAATTCAATACAAAAAACAGAAAGATGCAGCCATAGGACTAAAAGCAACTAAAACTACTTGTATAAACATGAACAGAAATGATGCCTGAACTGAAGCAGGAACAACAAAAGATCAGCAATAAGAACTGAACTGTTAAAACGGTTGCTCCAGAAGATGAAAGCTGACCACCTTCGTCTTTTAGTTGCTGGCGTCAACGTTGATGTTGGCCGTCTGGCTGCTGGTCTCACACTCGTAATTGGTGGGAGGAAAGGCTGCAGGGATGAAACATTTTTTTCTTAGATTTCCAGTCAGAATTTATTTATATAGCTTCCACATAAGTTTCATTTAACCATTTGTATTTATTACAGCCTTAGTATTTGTGATTATTGCAATAATTTCAGCCATTTAAAAGTATAAATTCAAGGATGGCTGTGTGGCATTTATTCACTTTTTTAAAAATGAACATCATAGAACATGCCATAATGTTCTTTAATGGCTTAAAGGTCAATTTTCAATTTTTTTTTATCTGTAGTCCCTAAGGATCCCCTATAGAATACATATAAAAACTAAAATGTGAAAACTGAACACATGGCTTCTTTGGGTTCAAAATCAAACACTCCATCATGATGTGCGTTCAGTCACAACACTTTAATACCAAAGAAGAACTCGAAATTTCCCTAAATCCAAAGAAGGTTTATATTTCTGCCACTGCAGAAAAAAAAAAAAAAAAAAAACAACAATCATGGAGGTACATTAGTTTTGACTGATCGGAGAGCCCAAAATGGACTGTCATTACTGCATGCATTACTGCTTTCCATAATTAAGCTGAAGAATCAGCAACTCATGCTGATGCTGTCACAACGGGGTGGAGATTTTTAAGGACCCAAATGCAGATATCAGGAGGTTTAATGAGTAACTGAGGCAAAATCCAAAAATGCAAATAAAGAATTTACCAGAAAAGATCAAGGGAAACTTTACGTGGGGAGTCAGAGATGAGGAAGCAACAAACAACAACAAGGAACCAGCACTAAGTGACTGCAGAGGTGGAGTATATAAGGGGAACAGAACAAAGGATGGACTAATGAGCTCAATAAGGAGCAGGTAAGCAAGCCAAGGGGAAAGGAAACAAGCACAAGGGGGCTACAGAGAGTAACTAAAGGCTGCTTGAATATAATGGAAAATAAACCAAAGATCAACAAAACAGAACAACTGATAACTGACAACTAAAAACTCAAGAGTCCCAAACCATAACAGATGCAGCTGTTCCCATTTTCCAGGATGAAAGGGGGAGAAAATCAACGAGCTGCCCAGCGCTGCTCCACCTCGACCACATCTACTGTAAACCTGATTGTTAAAAGTAATTAATTAAACTAAATAATTAGAGTAAAAACTCTTGATTGTTAAAAGTAATTCGTTAAACTAAATAATTAGAGTAAAAACTATGCTAACTTAAATGTGTATAGTTAATGAAACATATTCTTTCTTTCCGACTACATTTAACTCAATTCTATGGATTATTCTGAATCAGTTGTGTATTAATTTAACATAACTTAAATAACTCAGTAAGAAACTTAAATGAAATTTAATTCTAATTTTTGTGATCTACTGCATCGATTCTTGAAGGCAAGAATCGATTATTAAAAAAATAAAAAATTAACTAATAAAGTACATTAATGGTTGGCGCACATCAGCCAAACCAAGTGTAATACAACTTCCAGTCCAGCAGATGTCGCTGCGGATGAGTTGACGCCCGCTGCCTTTTGTCACAAGCATTTCCGGCCGTGGAATACTGCGACGAGTCATATGAAATAAAACATGGAGGACACTATGAAAATTCGCCCCGTGGCTCCACCACATTTCAAGTCAGATGCTTGGATGCATTTTGGCTTTAAAAACAAAGAAGGTAAAAACGAAATTGATATGATGCACGTAATTTGCAAAAGGGGAAATGTCATACATTTGAATATTTTCGTTTCATTGGTTTAAACGACCACTGAGGCCATGTAAACGGCACTGATTATCCTTATTTTGTTATTTTAAGTTTGATGAATCCTAAGATCTTTTTTGTCAGTGTGTCCACGCCAGTAATAGTAATATTTCTGTCCAGTATTTGTTTTCATTGCAACACCTCCAAAAGTCGTTTCAATAAATACAGCTATGTATGAATTCAGTTGCTTTCAGTTATGTATCAATTGAAGACACTATCCAGATCATACCCAGCCAGTCAGCCACTGGTAAGGGCTGTATCTTTTTTTTTACAGTGTTCAGTGAAAATATCGGAATGCATCGCAATATTTCAAGAATCATGATGCATCGCGATAGAATCGCATCGTGGTATGTGAATCGTGATTCGAATCGAATCGTGACTTCTTTGCCAATACCCACCCCTACTTCTATTCAAATCAGCCCTTTATTTCAAATATTTTTGCCGATGTATTCATAGCCACTGAGACAATTTGAGAGCAAAAAGGTTTTCAAAAAAGGATTAAACCGATTTCCAGATTCATTAAGACTTGAACTACTGAACAAATCCTTGTTGGTGAACATCAGAGACTCAGTACTGTCCTGTGTGCAGACTACACTAAATGCAAACAGGACTTAATAGGGATAAATAACGAGATATCAACTTTTTATGACCTGACATGTAATTTAAATTTTTATGTTGGTTACTTCAATCTACTTCAATCTTGCAAACCTGTATGATGCCTTTGATTTTTTTTTAGATTAAACCATCCTCTTCCCATTTTGATGTTCTCATTTAGAGAGAACTTTATATCTGTAAATAAATATACTCTATCAAAGTACATTTATATACATGTTTAAGCCAGAATGATTTGACATTTAAATATGATTTCCCAACGACCTTAACGCTACTTATTAATTTTGGTACTTATAAACGTTTTCGCAATGGTTCATTAAGTATGTTTTAGTGAAGCAGTAATGATCAGATCTTGCTCTCTTTTCCTTCTACATAACAATCCATTCTTCTAGCTTTTTTTATTTTTACTTTTGGAGTATAACTCCAAAGGTAAAACTTTTTAAGATGGCACCAGACAGAGGGTTTATCAATTTAGCAGACGCACACTCAGATACAGTACAAATGTAACTTCTTTTTTAACTTGGCATCGCCATCCGGTGGCTTCTCTGTCAACTGTCCAATTCTTTTAAAATATTTGTTAAGATTAAGGAGGGCATACACTGTACGATAATTTAAATAGTTGTACTCAGCTACAGCTCAAATTGTACGACGAAACCGAAGAGTTTAAAAGTTCACAGCTCATGATGTACTATGTACTTACACTGTACAGTACAATGCTTGAATTTCAACTGTGATTCCTAATCGGGAGGTGGTCGTGAGAGGCTGATTGCCCCTCGTTACCCCCTGTATACTACACAACGCACGACACATGATGAGGCTGAAACTCGGCCCGATCGAAAAAATTCTTTTATGACTGGCGCATTGGCCTGAAAAGGGCAAGAAATTGTACAGTGTATGCCCAGCTAAAGTCGAGTAATTGAAAATTTGTGGAAAGATTAGTTTTAGAAAATTAGTTGTTAGTGGCAGCGTTACAGTGTTTGTTAGTTTGTACAGTTTTTGTCACATTTTTGTTGGTAGTACTGTTAACCGTTTCTTTTTTAAATAATTGTCGTCATTACATGGGCTGCTTAGCGGCGCCGTGGTGCAGCAAGAAGGTTCCCAGCCTGGGGTCTGTTTGCATGTTCTGAGCATGGAAGGTTTCTCTCCGGGTACTCCGGCTTCTTCCCACAGTCCAAAAACATGACTGTTATGTTAATTGGATTCTCTAAATTCCCCTTAGGTGAGAGTGTGTGTGCATGGTTGTTTGTCATGTCATGTTCTCTGTGTTGCCCTGAGATAAACTGCCGACCTGTCCACGGTGTACCCCGCCTCTCGCCCGTAGACAGCTGGAGATAGGTGCCAGTGCCCCTCGCAACCCAGCTGACATGAGCGTGACGGAAAAGTGTATAGATGGATGTTGTCATTGCAAAGACAGCAGATGAAAGAGAACCTTGCAACAAAGAAAAATGTTTAGAACTTAATGTTTCTTAGCTTCCCTGTGTCACTGAATATTAAATCTAATCTTTTAGCTTTATTCTTTAAGAATACCTGCCAGAAGATACAGATTAAATTCATTCAAATGTAGAAGATGTTCAAGAGTCTCACCACCTCCCCTCACAGAAGTGGGAAGGAGAAGAGGAGTAATTTTTCTCCTCATTAAATTCCTGATTGGTTTTGGACTCCAATTTTTGCTCGTCTGCAGTTTGTCACCAGTTCAGAACTGACAGCTCGATCGTTAATACTAATGTCTGTGTAGCTTTCATTCCTCAGCGGTCTATTTGTACAGCAATAACAGCAGAGTGGCGAGGAGGGCGGCTGTGAATTAGCATGCTTGCTGTTAATTCTGCCTCTGTTCATCAGCAGGAAATCTACGACCTAATTAAAGGTTGAAACGAAGTGGACGTGTTAGTTTTAGCGGGATGTTAAATCACGACACATGTGCTTGCATCGTTTGGCTATCCTCTGATCTGCTGTGTAATTAGTGTCAGACCACTGAAACAGCAGAAATCCTTGTTCTTAATTAGCAGTTAAAGACCTGTTGTGTTATAAATGTACTAGTGGCTATCATTGTCAGCCCATCGTTAGTCATTGTAGCTGCATGTATAAATGTAACTCAACTTTGTCAGGGCTATACCTAACTTTTTCAGGTACAAAGATGCTGTAAAGCTGCATGACACTAATCATACCACCCCTTTTTCCCCGCCGGGGACATTTTTCTACCTAACCACAGATGATTAAAAGTCATTTTCTATAATTCATTGAGTCTATTGTAAATATGTGTTGTTATATGAGACAAATAATGTCTACCAACATGACATTTCTTATTTATTTTAGTGTTAATCAGTTTTAATCAGAGTTAAGATGTGTACAATTAAAATAAAACCCAAATGTTATGAGTTCTAAATCTCACAAAAGAATTCCGAAGACTATTTGTATCGAGGTAAAATGAACCTGAGAAAGTTTTGTTTCTTAAATGAACTTTTGCCCTTTTCACAGTCACTCAGCACAATATATATAAGATTTCTAAACTATTAAAATGTCTTTGTGTGACTAACAAAAGGAAGCTTTTTTAACCTCCCACTTGTCTTGCAGAGAAAAAGGAGGGAGGGTTTCAATAAAGGTGCAATCATTTCTGGCACTGCCATAAAAAGAGGAGGGGGAACAAAAGCCCAGATGTGAGAGGAGATGGTAATT